GGGTCGAAGGTCGGCCTGCAGGGCCCAGACTGCCCCCGCTGCCGGCGTTTCATGTGGCGCCCGCTGGCGCTGCGCTTTCAGACTGGCATTCCTGCGCAGCGAGCCCTTCTTCTTCAGAGTGTTCCCACGGCTGGGAAGGCTGAGGTGGTCCTCGCCGCTGTTGGACGCGTACGAGTTGGAGCGCTGCATGTTGTTGGCAGTGTGGCCGTCAATAATGCTGCTGCCGCGCTGGCTGGCGTCCCATTCCTCGGTGAAGCGGCCGTGATTTGATGATGGCACAGCCAAGGAGCTGGCGGCTTGCTGTGGGTATATGGGATGCGATGTGTGAGCGTTGGCGAGGGTGTTTTGACGGAGATGGGCAGAGTATGGATCGTGGCCGTGGCCGTTGGCTGGTGCGTCAAAGGCGTCGGAATGCAGGGCAGCAGGAGTGCGCGCTGTGTGGGAAGGTGGAGGGGGATATGCAAGGTTTTGAGTAGGATCTGGGTTTGGGTTCGGGTAGCCAGCACTGGTGGTGGTGGTGGCATGGGAGGCCATGGCGACGGGCGTAGGGACTGGACTGCACTAGTTTAAAAAGTCAGGTTGAGACGAGACAAGACACCAGAGCTGTCGGTCGCAGGGTGTGTTGGGAAATTCTGACGCAACCCACGGCCAAGGTAATGACGATGACGACGGAAGGCCGGCTAGAGGGGGGTGGGTTGCTGGCTCGCTGTTCCCGTCCGCCGCAAAGGTAAAGGGGGGGGATGGTTGAATGGGGTTGGACGGGGTACCTACCTACCCTTCAGAGAGGCCAAGGCCAGCAGCTGGTCAGTGAGTCGAGACGGGCCAGAGCTGTACTGGTAAGGTAAGGTAGGACAGGAGGGCGCTGAAGGGGGTGATCAGACCAATGCGGTCATAGGCTGGCAATGGGCAGCGATGTGAGGCTAGTGTGGTGTAGATGTTCCAGATGGTAGCCCAATGCGGAGACGTCTGGTTGGGTAATTGGGTAACGCAGCTGTGAAGCCCGAGTCGAGGTTGGTGCTAGCTGGGTGTGGATTCGCTAGCTGCTGGGCGGCGCTCGGCGCGAGAATGGTGGAATGAGGGGGATGCCGAAGGGAGAATCGGGATGGACGGGTCAGGAATTGAGGCTATCGTCGACTCAGTAGTTTTGTCGGTTTCTGGTGATGGAAGAGGGTGGGTGGAGGAGGTTAGGTTTGTTTAAAAAGAAGGCAGAGTCAAGCTGCGGAGGCATGTACGCATATAGCCAAGCCGTTTAGATGAGCGGGAACGGGAAGACAGCAACAGTAGGCAAAGCAGGCAGGCAGGCAACAACAGGCACACGGATGAAGATGACAAGGTCAATGGAACCCTGCGCACATCATCGTTAGAGGGGGGGTCCCTTGGGCAACCTGACGGCCAGGGACGCGCAAGTGGGCACAGGCGACGGTGCGCTCCCCTGTCTTAGGTACCTAGGTAGGTCCCTGCCCCAGATTTCGTAGGACCTCGGGGGACAGGTCCAGGGCGCAGCACAGCAAGAGCACACCACGGCGCAGAGCTTGGAGTAGCCACCTTCGTACTGACGGGAGCAAAACATCTAACATGGCCGAACGCGCAGGCAGCTTCACAACAGAGATAGCTCAACCAAAGGGAGCAAAAGACCAAAGGGAAGAAAAAAAAAAAAAAAAGAAACAACGCGTGCCGCTCCACCATCCAGCGAATGCAGCCATTGCTGCATGCTCTGCCCAGGTGCCACGCCTCTGGAAAGGTCCCCGCCAACTTCTGGTATGACGTAGCCAGCCCGTCGACCACGCCGTACACCTCGGTCGTGCGAGCCACTCGCCATGGGTGACAAGACCTTTCATTGCTACCACACTGCCGATTCTCCCTCTATCCGGCATCGACGCGACCCGAGCTTTCCGTCGACCAGCTTCAGCTTCGTCTTGTTCCCTACCCTGTTGCAGCATGCATCATCATCCAGCAGAGAACCTCGCCCCACAGGATTTCGCGGCCTGCTAGCGCTATCCGTGAACCTGGCAGCGCCAACGCTGCCCACCCGGGAACACCGAAATGCCGTCGAAAATCGTGAGCACATCGACATGACCCTTGCCCCGAGCCGACAATCACTATCCTAATCAGCTTTGCACGATACCAATGCCACCACATAGAGGGAAACAAAAACCTGGCGCACAGGCAACTCCGACTCGGCAGCTACAGGGGAGGCGAGCAGACTAACTACACGGCAGACAGATCTCCCGTTCCACTTGCGCCCTCCTCCAGCAGATCTACTGCTTCC